CAGACCGCCTATCACATGTCTCTGTATGACTAACCATCCTGTGTGATGGGGATTTTATAGCATCACCTAGTTAGCTTTTTTTTGACACACTGTACTCCACTTCATATAGTCTAGGGTAGCTGCACTAATGCAGATGTACCTCATAACTTAATAAAAAAAAAAAAAAAAAAAAAAACAACTAGGTGAATACACGCACGCAGAGTGTAATCCTTTATATATATATATTAAGTGCAGAAATGTATGTCTAACTAAACATTTTAGTAAACAAAACATTACTTTTGAACAGAGCAATTTGTTTTGCACTTTATATCGTTATCGTGCCTCTAATTATTTTAGTGTAGCAGTTTCAAGATACTGTAAATATTATGAAAAAACTCTCGCCTGAATTCCAGGGAAAATATTGTGAACAATTTTAGGAGCTTCCGATAACTTAGGTATTTTATTGTATAAATTTCGGCAATGTTCTCCAGGTGAGCAATTTCCCCGTCTTGAAAGGACACGTTAACAAGCAATATATTGAACCCTTAAAGAGTAACAGTGTCTTAAAACATTCCATCATCGCTTGGCTCTGTTGTTTGACAGATGCTTGTTAGCTTCGTCATTATGAGAGGGAACTGGGAAGGTGAGACGGTGGGAAGGGAGGTGGTGATGGGTGGTGAAGGTTGAGGGGGTGGCAGGGGAGGTGGTGCCAGGGGAGGTGGTGCCAGGGGAGGTGGTGGCAGGGGAGGTGGCGGCAGGGGAGGTGGCGGCAGGGGAGGTGGTGCCAGGGGAGGTGGTGGCAGGGGAGGTGGCGGCAGGGGAGGTGGCGGCAGGGGAGGTGGTGGCAGGGGAGGTGGTGGCAGGGGAGGTGGTGGCAGGGGAGGTGGTGGCAGGGGAGGTGGTGGCAGGGGAGGTGGTGCCAGGGGAGGTGGTGCCAGGGGAGGTGGTGCCAGGGGAGGTGGCGGCAGGGGAGGTGGTGGGAGGGGAGGTGGCGGCAGGGGAGGTGGCGGCAGGGGAGGTGGTGGGAGGGGAGGTGGTGGGAGGGGAGGTGGTGGGAGGGGAGGTGGAGCCAGGGGAGGTGGCCACAACACCCACCAGAGCATCACAACATCAGCGGTGCTCCCACCAACTAGGTCACCAGTACTGAGGTTACCTGCACCTCATTCCCACGATCAATAACCCTGCGGCCCGGTCTCTAACCATCCCTCGTGGTTGGCGGTCAGGTCAACCAGGCTGTTAAACGCCTCTGCTCGTAGTCTGACGAACGAATCACTAAAATGTTCATGGCATATTCTCCCCTTACACACTAACGAAGGCCACCGCTGCTAAAAAAAACAAGTGTATTTATACACAATTCAGAAGACTTCACAGTACACGAGTGTATTACAATCACTAATACAACGCCATACACTACGTGCGTACAAATGAGCAACAATTGAGCCCCAGACAGAGACAAGTGCGTGACCTTGAGCCCCGTGTTGACACGACACTTCCCGTGGCTAAGTGAATATGCGTGTGAGTCAGCACGGGTGGTAAGGCACAAATGGGTCCTTAAGTGCTCTCTCTTGACGGAGTTAAATGGTTGAGTACACGGCCTGAGCCACGCGTCACTCTGCACCAACCCATCAGCGGCGGGGAAGCTTGTGCAAAAGCCTAATTATAGCTGGTCACTCTACAGCTTCAACGTTGCATACAGGCGCAATTATAATTATCCTGTCATATGCACACTCGAATGATGTTGTCTCTTCTTGTGCATTCGTCACGTTAAGTTCATGTTACATCAGTTTAGTTCATTTATTATGCACTTATTCATTTATCTCCACATAGTAGCAAATGTATATGTTTATCTCTCAGAATGTTTGGTAATATGTTTATTGTTTGTGATGTGTGTCTATGTAGGTATTAACACGATGTACTGAACGGGGTGAGAATAGCTTGAGCTACCTCATCCCTTTGTGTGTATTTTACCTCAATAAACTTACTTCAATTTCAATTTCTCCACATAGTATACAGTGGCCAATACTCCACATAGTATACACGAATTTAAGAGAACAGCTGCGTCATTGCCTGTGTAAACTCCCTTTTACTTTGAAACATTTTCAAACACCCTTTGAAAATGCTTTGCAGGATGACTGCAAAATAGTAAGGTTTTCCTGACACGATGAACCTAAATTAAAATGAGTCCCTCTCATCTTTCATATAACATAGTCTCTCTTTTTAAAAAAGAAAATGGCGATTCAACATCTTGTTCCGTGCGCCGCCAGTCGTAATAGCTTGAAAATCTCTGGGATAATGGATACTCGTACTTACTTACCCCTGACATTCAGTGCGTGTACCTGGGTGAGTTACGAGGCGTCACTGGCCGCCCACTGGGAGGTCCCAGCCACCAGCAGGACACCGAAGTCCCCTTCGCGAACTTCACATTCCACATCTCTACGGTTCAGTCTCACCTACTTCGCTTGGCTTCAATTGTGGAAATGGAGGAAAAAAAAATATCTGGGGGAATCATCTCCGCCAGGAAATGTATATATAAATAGCTAGAAATTGTTGTATAGTTTTTAAGATACCGTTTTCGTTGTAATATGAACTGTTGATGTAGCCAGATGTAGTGGGTTGGGGGGGGGATGTTTGGTAAGTTTGTGTGTTGTAGTGTTTGGTGGTATGTGTGTGGGACTGTAGGGGTCCCTGGCTGTCTGTAGAAGTCCCCTGGCTGGCTGTAGGAGTCCCTGGCTGGCTGTAGGAGTCCCTGGCTGGCTGTAGGAGTCACTCGCTGGCTGAGGGGTAGGAGGGGGGGGGGGGAAATTGTGACTAGCCAACGGGTAGTGGGGGAGGGGAGGTCCAACTGGTGGTAGGGGGAGGAATGAGGATCCCACAGGTGACAAGGGTGAGAGGGTGTATATGGGTGGTGTGCGAGAGGAGTCGTCTGGTTGTGGTGAGGACTAAAGTGTAGATAAAGCCCACAGGTAGTGGGCTTTATCCCACTAAAGCCCACTGATATATATATATATATATATATATATATATATATATATATATATATATATATATATATATATATATATATATATATATATATGTATCGTGGGTGTAGAGAGACTGCTGTGAGCCAGGAACGACAAGGTATTGTGGACATCCACTCCCTACTTCTCCCCTTACTGCCCCTAAGCCCCTATTCATTGCCTACCAATTTCATTCTTATTTCTCAGTTATTAACAATTTAAGGTCCGCAAGCCATAAGTCACTATAAACTCTTTGGGCCCCATCCGGTTCGAATCCTGGTGGGGCCAAAGCCTTTTAGTCATATCATATTTATACTCTAATTATATTACAAAAAAATATTAATTTCCAGATGACAATGGTTGGACACTGGTTTGGGGGGGGGGGTGTGTGTGTGTGTGCGCGCGTGTGCGTGTGCGCGTGCGTGCGTGTGTGTGTGTGTGTGTGTGTGTGTGTGTGTGTGTGTGTGTGTGTGTGTGTGTGTGTGTGTGTGTGTGTGTGTGTGTGTGCGCGTGTGCGTGTGCGTGTGCGCGTGCGTGTGTGCGTGTGTGCGTGTGTGCGTGTGTGCGTGTGTGCGTGTGTGTGTGTGTGTGTGTGTGTGTGTGTGTGTGTGTGTGTGTGTGTGTGTGTGGGGGGGGGGGGGTCAGGTCTCTCTCCACCACTACATGTGACTGCCTTATTTCAGTCTTACATGTGACTGTGGCCCCGACTGAACCCTCACACAGCCGGCAATGCAGCACAGCACAAAGATACACCATCAGTCTACAGACAATAATTCAAGAGTTTACAACATTGAGCAACGAGCTCGGGAGAGGAAGTGTAAGGCCAGCGTGGCTCCACCACCACCACCTGTTAAAACACTCTTAGTCTTAGCTACATCCTCCACACCACCGCACCTCCCCCCCCCCCCCTCCTCTCTCCCTCCGTCCCTCACACTCTCTCCCTGTCACAGACAGACAGACGGTACGTGTACTCACCTAATTGTTAGTTAGGTACTAACCTAACCTAACAGAGGACCCATGAATAGAAAACAGGACACCCCCGTCAATTTTGCAACCCGCTACGATTTTTAGTACACCATTTTTTTGGGGCCTTTGGCGATTTATACATCTAAATGTGATGTACTATTCGAATAGACGGGTTGGAGTGGGGCCTTTATGAGTATTCATATACATATAGATATTCATATACATATGTATATTATATGTACTCATATACATATGCTTGCGTATATGAGTATTCAGCCGGTCCTCCTAAAGTCTCCCAACGTCAAGAAACTGTCGTACTAAGGTGCCCTTATCCTACCCTACCAGTGGATCCCCAAACAGAAAACGGGACAGTATGTACAATTTCGCGATTTTCTGCCATTTTCTCGTACGACGATTTTTGGCCTTCGGAAGAGTATACGTCAAAATGCGACGCTGTATTAGGAGGACGGGTTGGTGTATTGGGGTATAGGAGGACGGGTTGGTGTATTGGGGTATAGGAGAGCGAGTGGGAGTGTGTGCATGTGTTTGTGTGAATTTGATTTAGCTTTTGAATTTTTTAGCTTAATATTGTCACATAACATTTTATAATTATATGCATTTAGGTGCTTAGTACTTTTCCATTTTTTAACGTTACTACACCTGCTACTCTATTTTAGGTAACTGCGAGCAAGTGCCAAGTGTACCGTCAGCTGTGCCATACTTGTAGTCACTTATAGAGTTTTACAACTTAATGAGACATGACTGTATACAGTGCTTTACACTTTCAATAACAACTGTACACAGCTTATATGTCACTTTGTCCTTCATACACTGATCTCCCTGTTCTGTTGTTCCTGTCACAGGTAGTAGGCATCCATCAGTCTCAAGAGACTATGGAGTTGCGCTCTGGTTGTCGGTCTGAAGGAGGCTTTGCGCCTCTCCAGGGCGCAAAGGATACGATAATATAAAGATCACAAACCTTTATATAATCGTAGTATTCATTCGTAGAACTTTCAGGTCAGAAGTCAAGTTGTGAGGATACGAGTGAAACACAAATTATCTACATAAATACATTTATTCATAAAATGCCACAATATTTCCCCTTATGAGCTAGCGTTGATACACTCCTGCATCATTTCTGAAACAAGCGAAAATATACACAATTAGGAACTGCCCAAATAAGTATCGGTGCCAAAATCCATTATATCACAGAACGAGGAATTATCAACACACATTGCACGGAATGGTTAAAGGGGGGTGGGGAGTTGAGGGGGGTGGTGTGGGGGGACGAGCCCTCAACTTGCCTCAGGAGACATCAGCAACTCTGTCTGCTCTGTCTCTTGTAACATTGTCACGACTGCCACCACTACCCACTATCCACCTCACTCTCCGAGGCACTATACTTTAGGCAAGGGTTCCACTCTACGGAAGAAGTGGAGAAGGAAGCCGTCTCCAGGGAAGGCCGTGTGTGGACCGAGGGTGGAGAATGAGGGGCACGGCTACCCATAGTATGGTCACAGGCATTTCCATTATCTGCCGTGATGTATTCGCCAGTAAGGTCCAGTGCGCTCATGAAGATTAGTAGCGGGCAGCTGTGGCAAGTGAGAGTGGTGGCCAGCAAGGGTGTTAGTGGGTTGGTGGTTTCTAGCCAGGTGATGGCAGAGGTGGAGGCACAGAGGGTCTTGGGAGGTAAGGGGAGCAAGGTAGGGGCGTCTTGGCTCGTGTCGTGTGTCTGGCCACTGCTTTCGTGCTCCTGATCCAGGTACTTGTGGGGGTGGGTATCCATTATGGGTATCCAGCAGTTAGTGAGTTGAGAAGCTTCCTCACCTTCCTGTTGATGGGTACTTGTTACTGGTGTCCAAAATTCATTGGTTAGTTTAGGATATAGTTTCTCTGTGTGATTTTGAGGGGTGTGTCTCTCGGCAAGCATTCCAAACTCTGAGGTTAGTTGTGAAGGCTGAGCATGAGGATAGCTGCAGGGATTCACAGCCACTGTGGGTGTCCAGGAGTCAGTGGTTAAGGCTGGGATGGTGCGTGACAAGTGCAGGGACGCCGAGGGAGAGGATGGTATCACTTCGGCTCGTGAATGACAGTTCCGAGTCTCAGGGTGGTGTCTGGTCCCTACGCGTGTGACAGGAGTCCAGTAAGGTTCACTGTCAGATTCTAAGGAAGAGGATTGTCGGGAAGAGTAGGTGGAGGTGTCTGTGGGAGATATGTCACTTAGGCTAATCTGTGACTCGACACTACTTGGTGCAGAGCGGGCAGGGGCTCGGGAAACACTGTGATGGGGAATGTAGAGGTGGTCATGGGGGTTAGCAAGGCAGTGGTGGCAGCAGTTATCAGCAGCAGGTGCAGTGACGACTCCGTCCGAGGACAGGTAAGGTGGATGTATGGTTGTGGGTATCTGTCTTTGGGGAGATACACAGCTGTAGGCAAGGGTAGGTAGACTCCAGTGAGTGAGTGGCACTAAGCAACTTACTCTGAGTGGCCAAGAGCGCCGATCATTGATGCCTCGGGGGTGTGGACTGGGTTGGCGCCAGTGGCTGGAATCTTCTGGTGGCCGTGCACGCATTAGGGGCGTGCCCATGCAGAACGTACACCCTACAGTTTCTTCGGCCTCCTGGCGGAGAACTTTTTCTTGTTGTTTCCGTTTAAGCTGTTTCACAGACGTGGGTTTATGGGAGGGTATGGTCGAAGAATCTTCACTTGCATGAAGAGGGGAATCAAGGGAAAGGTCTACATCAACTCCTATAAATCTATGGTTAGGGACGGTGCAAGAGTGATTATTATTGGTGTGGTGGGGATAATTACTCGGTAGCCAGCCACCATCAGGCACAATGTTGTTGCCATAAAGTGGCGGGGCTGGAAGTGGCGGAGGCATTTCTTGGACAGACGCCCCCTCCTCCGCCAGCTCACTCTCACCTTGAGTCATCACTGGCAAACAGGTCTTGCCTTCCCTTGGATTTGAATTAGGAATACCGACCAAATAAAATTGCATTTCTTTTCCATTAGGTGGGAGTTGTATGGGAGAATATGGTTGAGCAGTGGGTGGGGCCTGTGCCATTGTATGAGAAGTTGAGGGTTGAGTCCAAACAGAAGTTGCAGGATGGGTGTACCGAGTGTCATGTACACTGGGAGGTGGACGTCGAGGGACGTCCTGCAGCGCATGAAGTTTACGCTGCACCCATCTTGGAGGCGGCACGGGAGGCTGACCAGCGGTATCTGTTGTGAAGATACTAGTATCGCGAAAAAGGTTTTGGGGTTGGAAATGGTCACACTGAGAAGAGGTAGGAGCATGAACGGTGGGTGGGTCCTCGTCTGATGTGTTGACGCAGAGGGCGGGTGTGGCGTAATATTCTCCAGAGCTGCAACAAGTGTCAGGACCATCGCTGTCACTGGTCGGACACTGGGTTACCACTGCAGCTACTCGACCACTCTGCACATTGTAAACTCCTGCACTGCTCTCCTCGTCCAGACCCATGGAACACGATCTCCCTGAATGTGAGAGGTCATGTCCAGAGTTCTGGCTAGCCTTTCTAGGATGATTCTCGGATTTTGGTCCCAAGTATTTACTAGCTCTCCTTAAGCTGCTTTTGAATGCGGCCACAAACGTTTTCTCTGAACCTTTTCGTGATCGGTGAGGTGTAACTGGCACGGTGGAACTATCAGAATCCCTAGGAGACCTTGGTTCACTCTCACACTCGCTTCCTTCGCCCATGCTTTCTTTACATGATTGATAGCCAGGGATCACATCCGTTGGTTCACATAACATATCACTATCACTAGCTTCATCAATGACCAAATCATCATCATCTTCAAACATAATCATCAGAGCTCCATGCCCTTCTAAACTCTGGAAATCTTCCAATCCTTCAAAGTCGACCACAGACATACCATCTTGTTCATGCCAGATATATCCCAATAGTAGCTGATCTCCGCCATGGAGCAAGGCGCCACTAACCTCCTCTTGGCTAGCCTCTAGGTGTTCAGCACTGATTGGTGGTAAACTATCCAGATGTTTGGAGGCACGATACTCGTCCTGACCTGCTATTGTGCTGTCGCCAACCGCTGGTTCATTCCCACTGTGATGTTGACTGTTAGGAACTCTGCTGTGTACAGCATCCCCGTCCATTGTGGCAACTGGCAAATTTAAATTACTTAAGTCCAGTTGTTCTTCACAGATGCAAGAGTTATCATGCACTTTGCTAGCTCGTCTTCTATCCTCGCGAGATTTGTTTAAAATATACAAATCTTTGGACCGCTTCGGATCCAAAGAACGACACTTACGATCTCCAGGTTTGAGCTTAATTTTTGTTTTGACAAAGAGAAAGTCAGCAGAATCACTGGACGAAATAGCTTCAGAGTCACTCTCAGACTCACTGGCAGAATCCTCATATTCTTGAACCTCCAGTCGGGTCATGAGACTAAGGTGCTTGGTTTTTGCTGATGGCACAGTTGGAAACACGTGTGGCAGCGGGAAAAATCGGAGAGATTCTGAGTCTTGAGATTGTAATACTGAAGTGTTATTATTGCAACCATCCTGTTCTTGAACCATAGTATTAATATCTTCCTCATTATCCTCACCCAGTTCTCTCTCAAATTTCTTGAGTTTTTCCTCAAGACGTCGCATGTCAGCATCAACAGTATCAAAGTCTTCATCACTCTCATAGCCAGCAGGATCCTCCTCGCTTTGTGACATTTTGACAGCAAGGAGTGCACGCCAATGGGCTTCCTCCTCGTCCTCGTCTAAGGGTAGCAGATCCCTTCGAGTCACAGGGCCGCCGCCGGAGGTCCAGGAATTTTCAGACCCCGTTGACGAAGCTGATGCTGAAGCCAGCATGCCAGGGTCGGTTATATGACCTGATGATACAGAACCATCTTCAGGCATGGTATTCCCCATTCTCTTAGTGATAACAGGAAGATGGCGAGTGTTTTGATACACGACTCCTGAGACCTCTCCTGAGGCACTCGATGAAAGAGTGCAAGTGATATTTTCAGACCGATTGCCAAGCATGTCTTCTGACGACAATATGTCAGATGTGCTCACTGAAATTGCCTCATTTGTTACCACTTTTTGAGCATGAACAGATGTGGAAGGAATGTGGATTTGGTGATGTTCAGGATCAATCACTCTTGCTAGTGTGTTAATGGCCTCCTTGCCGAGATCCAGAGTATCACTGGCATCAACAAATTCATCCTCTCCTTCTTCTTCAGCAGGAGGCGGGTGACTGTAGCCAGCAGGAGTATCAACACGCACTACAGTGGCAACGCTGGCCGAGCTGTGGCTGAATCCATGACCAGGATCGGGTGTGACCACTTCCAGAGCCTGTTCATATTCATCAACCGATTCCTCTCTTATAAGGGCACTGATGCCTCCAATACACAGCATTACTGGAGAAGATGGCATTTCTTCAATGACCTCCACACACACTTTCTGTTGAACCATTCCATCTGCACTGCTTACCGAATCATTGTTTCGGCTAACGGTATCAGTCGTTTTGACGACTGATGGCTGTCTAAGACCATCATTATCTACCATTATATTTGACGGGATGGTGGGCGAGTGTGGCTGTGAGGGGCCAAGTGAAGTATCTACCTGTTGATTTCCCGAGCAACATGCTACTGCTCTGTGAGTGCACGGTGCACCTTCCCACCCACTCGCCCTTTGCTCTATGCCGAGCAAAGTCGCCATGTCCATGTCGCCCTCTGTCCCTTGTCGAGTCAAGCCCGTGTCAGACTCCAATTCGTCTATGTAGAGAAGATTTGTTTTGTAATTCGCGAGTGTAGAGGTCCCTGGTGATGAGTCGATCTTATGGGGGTCATCTAGGCTCACAACTTGAGCTGGTTGATTTAATATCGTCTGGTTTAATTTGACCCCAGGCAGGAGAACAGAGGGTGGGACACCCAAAAGTGGTGGACGATGCTCTGAACTCTCTCCTGACGATTTATACCACAGCAGTTCATGTTCTTCTTGGGTTTCTTGTTCTTCTTCATGATCCTGATTGCCGTGTGCCTGTTCATGACTGCTATGTTCCTGTTCATGTTTGCTATGTTCCTGTTCCTGCTCGCCACATTCCTGTTGTTGCTTGCCTTGTTCCTGTTTGCCTCGTTCCTGTTCCTGCTTCTGCTTCTGGTTGCATTGTACCTGCTCATGCATATAGTGTTCCTGCTCCTGCCTGCCTTGCGTCTGTCCTTGATACTTCACACCGTGCTGGTGGTGGTGTGGGCTTAGTTGCTCAAAATCTTGAGGCTGGTTGTCCATCCGCTGTACCTTATGCAAGACTGGGCTCTCTTCTCCTTGTATGGTTGTTAGGGCGGCAGTCTTCACTCCTCTGCCATTACTGTGTATCATACCTCCATCTGCAGTGATCACAAGCTGGTGAGCATCAACACCATCTGCACAGCAGTGTAAGGATTTCTCATCATCCTCATTTACGAAGCTTGCAAGTGGTGGTATCGATGTGGGAATAAAACTTGTGTCTAAATTTCTGTGTATGTTTTCTCCAAAGCCTTCAATTCCACCAAAAACATCTTCTAATACTGAATTTAAACCGTCTGTTTGCATCACTGCATCTTTTAATGGTTGCTCTTTACTATGCGCGGGAACATGATCAACTGAACTGCGAACGGCATCGGGTGCATTCCCGGTTAATAAGCTACTCACACTCTCAGGAATGTCTTTCGAATACTGAGGCGATGCTGTAGTGCAACTTGTTTCAAGCGTCACTCCATTGTGGATTACATTCATATTGTGGCCTGACTCCGGCGTTACAGTGTCGCTTGACACTGCAGGACATTTTGAGTTATTGCTTAACAAGTTTCCAGCGCAAAAGCCTATTGTCAGTTTGATTTTATTCTCTAAAATAGGGTCGAGTGGAAGTAGAGGTGGGGAAGGCGAGGGAGGTAACACTCTAATATTCTCAACTCTGCTCGTGTCCAACTGTTCACTCGTGCACCCACCACCTGGGCCCAGCTTCTGAATATTCGGTGCGCCGTGGTCAGGGAGGCCGGAGCCAATGCGTGAAGCTGATTTGGATCTGGCACCGGTGTCAGCATGGCCTGGGCTGGCACTGAGGGGCTGTACGTGGCCCAGAGATGAGAGTCTGTGCCTGGTGAACTCCGGTTGGGAAAGTTCCCCAGCCTTCTGTTGGTGCTGAAGCTTGGTGCCGCATATAATATCCAGAGGAAACCGCATTGATCGTCTTTTGGTTTGTCCTCCGTCCTGTTGGTGACGCACTATCAATGGGTCGTAGGCACCTTTCCCTCGACCTACTGAACAGGTAGATGTATCCACACTCAAACTACCCTCCCTAGCAGCGGTATCTCTCATAGAAGCTCTTCCTGTTGCACTCTCTTGTACTTCACTGTCAATTTCTACCACGGCCCCAGCGTCACTTTTCAACACATTCAATCCATCTTCTTCATTACAACATTCCTCCCTCTCTATAACTACACTGCTGCTCAAGCTACGTGAACCTGGTGATGCAGCAAGGTCTTCAGGTACTTTGGTACCTCCAGCAATACTGCTGGAGTCTTGTTGGCCGCTTACCAGAGTACCTCCCTCATCACGAGACAAATCTTGTTTATCCAAGTCAATGTTTTTATATTCTTCATATTCACTGACCTTCCCATCTAAGCACGGTGTAAACAGTTTTTTAATATGTAATAACTTACTGTCTACTTTCAGAATGGCATCAGGGTACATAATGTCATCCGTCAGAGGAGTATGTGCCCCAGACGACGTGACAGTAGACGTCCGAGGCCTTCCTAAGTTAAAGTCTTTCACTGCTGACACTTCGCGCTTAGACGATACGCACCGGAGTTTGCTGTCGCTGACGGCGCCAATATCAATGTGTTCCTCTGGGGTGATAATGCCCCCAGCACCAACGTCACGCCTACTTTGACCTTGACAACAATTTACTGTACCCGGCATTAGCTGTGGGGGCGCTTCTTGCTTACAACGAGCCTCTGTCTGGCCAATCACAGACTCAGAAAGCACCTCTTGACTGTGGGAAGGTTCTTCCGAGCAATTCACAGACAGCGAGGGCACTTCCTGGGAATAACAACGTTCTACTGGCTCACTCGTCGGTTTTGAGAACTCATCTTGACTATGGTAAGGTTCTGTTGGACCAGATATTGACTGAGAGAACACATTTTGTCTGTTACAAGGTCCTGTTGTGCCATCTTCTGTTTCTAAAGGCTCATGTTGGTAACGACAAGGTTCTACTAGGTCAGTCACTGTCTTCGAAAACTCCATTTGACTATTACAAGCTTTCCCTGGAACACTCGATGACAACGAATATCTTTCTTCACTCTTACTATGTGCTTCTGGCCCAGCTACTGTCTGTGAGAACTCCTCTTGGTCAAGACAAGGTTCTGTTGGACCGTCAACTGTTTGTGAGAACTGTTCTTGGTCAAGACAAGGTTCTGTTGGGCCGACAACTGTTTGTGAGAATTGTTCTTGGTCAAGACAAAGTTCTGTTGGGCCGACAACTGTCTGTGAGAACTGTTCTTGGTCAAGACAAGGTTCTGTTGGGCCGACAACTGTTTGTGAGAATTGTTCTTGGTCAAGACAAGGTTCTGTTGGGCCAACAACTGTTTGTGAGAACTCCTCTTGGTCAAGACAAGGTTCTGTTAGGCCAACAAATATCTGTGAGAACTGTTCTTGGTCAAGACAAGGTTCTGTTGGGCCGACAACTGTCTGTGAGAACTCATCTTGGTCAAGACAAGGTTCTGTTGGGCCGATAACTGTCTGTGAGAACTGTTCTTGGTCAAGATAAGGTTCTGTTGGGCCGACAACTGTCTGTGAGAACTGTTCTTGGTCAAGATAAGGTTCTGTTGGGCCAACAACTGTCTGTGAGAACTGTTCTTGGTCAAGACAAGGTTCTGTTGGGCCAACAACTGTCTGTGAGAACTGTTCTTGGTCAAGACAAGGTTCTGTTGGGCCAATAACTGTCTGTGAGAACTCATCTTGGTCAAGATAAGGTTCTGTTGGGCCGATAACTGTCTGTGAGAACTGTTCTTGGTCAAGACAAGGTTCTGTTGGGCCAATAACTGTCTGTGAGAACTGTTCTTGGTCAAGACAAAGTTCTGTTGGGCCAATAACTGTCTGTGAGAACTCATCTTGGTCAAGACAAGGTTCTGTTGGGCCGATAACTGTCTGTGAGAACTGTTCTTGGTCAAGACAAGGTTCTGTTGGGCCAATAACTGTCTGTGAGAACTGTTCTTGGTCAAGACAAAGTTCTGTTGGGCCAACAACTGTCTGTGAGAACTCTTCTTGGGTAAGCCAAGGTTTCGCACAGTCAATAATTCCCTGTGAGGACCATTCTTGACCGTGAGAATATTTTACTGGACCAGTAGTCACTGTCTGTTGGGGTTCTATTTTATTGTGTGTGGGTTCTGCTTCAGTTTTATCAGACTTTACTACTGCTGTCATTCTCCGTGTTGTTTTACTTTGGTTCCGAAGAGGTGGCTCTGGCGGGGACTGTGGAGGCCCATGTTGGCTAACACACAGATGTTCTTTCTCGGTATCTGCTTGGGATGGGTCTTTCTGTACAAAATATGTCAGTTTAGTGTCACGTGTTGCATGCGAAGGCACCTTTGGAATACAGGAATATTCAGCTAAGCCAATATTTGCCTCTGAGTGCTTTGATTCAGGGGGAACTAAATGTTCTGTTGCGGCAGCCATTGTCTGCTGTGGTTCTACTTGATCATGGCAGGGTCCTGCTCTAGTCCCTACCTGTTCAGCTGGGCATGATGGCTTTACTCCTGTTGGAAAGAGAGGCCTCTTCATCCCCGATTGTTTAATTATTGTCCTATTTTCAATAGAATGTGGCATCGTATTTACTGAACTGACAGTTTTCACTTGAGAAGTGTTGTATAATGGTGGAGGAATGTTGACCTGTGGCGCAGCTGCCATGTAGGCAGGTAAGGGCTCAATAATCTTCAACCAAGGCAGAAGATCATTACTAGTTTCCAGTGCTGCTGTGTTGACCTTGGGGACGTCATGGGCGCCCGGTCCTACTCTCTCGGGTGCTAACGGGCCAGGCTTCCCGTAGCAATCAGCTATATTTGTCTCCGTCGCTGCGCCATGACTGGAACCGGTTGGTGGCGTCGGCGGGAAAGTACTGAGCCAAGTTTCTGAAGTCTGTAAAGTATGGCCGTTGACGTGAGAAGGTTTACTTAGGGGACCGGCATCTTCAACTCTAGTACTTACTGCACCGGGAATATTATGCCCACCAGTAGCTGGAAGACAACTTGCTTTGTTAATATTCTGTCTACCACTCACGCCACTATTATAACCCACACCACCAACACACGGTGACGAGGGCCTGAAATTGTCGGTGCACGTAGTAAGCTGGAAGTCTCCGGCTCCACCTAGCTCGCCACGTCCCTGCTGGGGAGCTCTCAGTTCGTCACCAGGGGAAGGCAGCGGCGGTGTGGTGTCTAACTCTAGTTGCACACTCGCTACTCTACCTTCCAAGGCATCACTTTTTATGTCTTGACAGACGTTTGGGTGAGAAACTGGATGGTGGCCTCCCGGGTAGCTGCGACCAGCCGTGTAGGGGCGAGGGATGGCGTTGACACAGCCACCCCGCGGCGGCGCCAGGGTCACAGGGCTGCCCCAGGGAAGGACCGGCCGTGTGGGGCCAGAGGAATGACTGGTGCACTCTGAAGTAGGCTTCTTGGGGGCTGTAAGTGTGTAAGGGGTAGACGACCACTGGTGTAGCGGAGTGGACGTCCAAGGTGGTGTGGTGTGTGGCTCGTGTCCATCGCCCCCCACCTGCTCCACACCAACACTGCCGCCTCCACCTTCCACCTCACCATAGAATACATCAACAGGTGTGTTGTTCGAGGCCAAGATGCTACGAAGTGCTGTGTCTGGCTCATGTTGCACACCTGCACGCTGCACTTCCGGCAACCGCGGCGACGTTGGCTCTGATGATAGGCCTACACTCTCTGCTTCTGGAGAGGCAACTTGTATTTCTGGAGTTTCTTGCGGCCAGGGTGGTAGTGGCGACAGTCTGAATTGTGGCAATTTCCGCGGCAGCGTGTGGCACCGGAAGAGAGGATATGGGTCGGGAGAGGAGGGACGGGAGCCAAGGTTGACACCACACAGCTTGATGACGGCTTCACCTTCCTCCGAGGGTCCAGGAGTGCTGCTCCTGGTGTCGGCGCCGCGGTACATCTGCACGTCACACATGTCAGAGTTCCTGTTGGGTCGGTGGGTCTGCCAGGTGGCGTCTCCCTTCACCCGGAAGGTCACATTACTGCAGATGTCCCGCGTCGACGCACTCTTGTTCCCGGCGAACAGCGGCACCAAGTTTCTGACTTTGGCTTGCTCGTTATTTGCAATTTTAAAACCGTATATGGAACTATGGGTGGTGGGTATGGGGGGCGGCTCACTTCTGAGGGAGGCAGAGGGCGCTGGGCCCTCCATATTGTTGTCACTACTCATAGTCACTAGTTCACCCACACTATTTATAGCCGTGTGCCAGCCATGGCCGGCCAACACTAATTCCCATACATCACTAAGAGCATGTTGGCACTGATCGCCAGTGCCATACACCGGGAAGCACCACAAAACGTCCCTCACAAGCACCTGAAGGGAGCCTATCACCTCCCCCGGGCACCAGGCGAGGTGTGCCTCCCCCACCGTGCCATGGCCACAACTGCCCGCCGACCTGCCGCCAGTGCCAGCCTGCTGTGGCACTTGGCACTCACTCTCATCCTGCCACCAAGCTAGGTCGCACCAGTCCTGCGAGAGTGCAGTATTCTCAGAGCACACACACTCGTCCTCTCCTAGCGATGGACTGTGCTTGTAGAGAGCGGCGTGAGTGTGAGGTGGAGAGGGGTGAGGTGGAGAGGGGAGAGCTGGAGAGGGAGGAGCTGGAGAGGGGTGAGAAAGAGAGGGGAGAGATAAGAGTGGGTGTGTGAAATGATCGTAAGGACAGTCATCGAGTACTAGAACAGGGCGGGCGTGAACCAAGCCTGAATTCTCCCACTGCCCACTCTCACCCTCTCCACCACTCCCACCCTCTCCACTCTCACTCTCACGTTGCCCGCTCCCACGCCCCTCTGGTGTGCTCTCTGGGAGCCAGAGCCCACCGGGAGAGCAGTCTGGTCCACCGTGACGGTGATCCAGCTCACTGTTATGGCAGCAAGCTTGGCCACTGTGGCGCCAGGTTGGCTCCTTTAAACACGCGCCAGTTACCTCACTGTGCCCGTCACTGCTGGCTCCCGTGGCACTTGAGGTCGGTGGAGGGGGGCAGAGGGAGGGTCCAGTGCCACCCGGTAGTGAGGAAGCTGGCACCCGTGACCCGTCTATTTGTCTGGTAACTGCACCTTCACTACACTTGTTATTATTATCACCTTCATTATACACGTCATCACCTTCAGTATGCACGTCATCATCTTCATTATATATGTCATCATCTTCACTACTCACGTCATCACCTTCACTATGCACGTCATCACCTTCACTATGCGCGTCATCACCTTCACTATGCGCGTCATCACCTTCACTACGCAAGTTATCACCTTCACTGTGCACGGCAACACCTTCACTACGCACACCATCACCTTCACTTGCTCCCTCCATCCTCTTCAACACTCCATCATTATCAGCTAAGCAATGTTCATTACCTTTCCCGTGGGTTAATGTTGTGTCTTTACCCAAACATTCACAGTCAGACCACAAAGGTAAGCCAGAGGGAGAGCCAAGTTTTGCCCCGAAGGAGGAAAGAACAGGCCGGTATGGCACAGTGCCGCTTCTCCCCATCACAGCATGTGTGGGATACGCCCCTGACGCCTGAGGCGGCAGCTGGGGCAGCTGTTGGGGAAGGAGGAGGTGGGAGGCGGCACTGGGGTGAGTGCCACTGTCGGCTACAGGAGTGAGGGTGGTGGTGGCGGGAACACACCCGCCAGGAATGCTGCTGTTTCTGCTGCTGCTGCTGTTTCTGCTGCACTTACGCACACCGCCGACACCATCCCCAGATTCGGAGGGAAACGTTTGGTATCTCGGTGAAACCCCAGTGTCTAAAAATGGCCGGCGATGGGTAGTCTTGCTTCTAAGGCCCGCGTCCATGACGTCACCGTGACTCCCCCCTCCGTCACTATCGCCAGCCTCCGACACGTCATTCTGCCCACATTCCACCGCGTCACTTTGTTCTATTATCACTAAACCCTGAGCACCCATATCTTCGTCTGGCTCGTCTTCCACATGGCTATACACACCACTCAGGGTCTGGGCTCTGCTGCCCTGCGCACCTGACAGTTGCGAGCCAGGCTCCTCTGATGGGTTAGAGTCATCCACACGGGTCCCACGGTCCGCCTCGTTCACGTGGATGACAGTGATCCGCTTCTGGCCCGGTATTCTGGGGCTACTGTCACTGAAGATGTCCGCCATCAAACTGTGGTCTAGTCCGTCATGGCGGGGAGGACTGCGGCAGGCGGTGAGGGCGGGGCCAAGAGGGTGAGTGCCCAAGTAGGAGTGGGTAGGGCGACGCACGGCGTCAGGAGGCGGGCGCTGTACTTGCTGATGGTGGCACCGTTCACGGGGCACTGGTGGCGCTGCTTGAGGCGGGGCCGACCCATCCTTCTCCCCCACCGTCACAAATGCTCCCTCCTCCGTCTTCTTATCCGTAACAGACACTCCTCGGAGGCCTGGCGCCTGCTGATGCTCGCAAGTGGGGGTGTGTGGCAGTGTAGACGTGTGTGTGGCGGGGCTTGGAGTCCTACGGTGCTCACAGTGAGCACAGTCGCCCTCTAGGTCTATGGTGCACCTGGCGTCATGGCTGGTTATCAAAACGCACTCTACATCACCATTGGCACACGACCCTCTGCACACTGATGGCTGCCAAGGCTGCTGAGAGCTGTGGCTGTCAGGGAAACTGTCGGGCGTTATGCTGATATTTTCTGAACATCCGAGTCTACTCCTCGCCGGCCGGTCACCTACTGGTGATGCAAATAAAAGTTGCCTATGAGGCTCCATGGAGGCAGAGTGACCTGGCACCTCTCTGGGCAACAAGACTTGGCACGGGGCCGTCTGTTGTCCACGTAATGCCTGCATTGCCACCGAACTTGCGCCCCTTGTGTCTGTACTGGGGGCACTGTGGTCGTCTTCCTCGTAGGAGGGGTTCCACTGCCAGAGATCTTCGGAAGATGGTGCAAACCTGCCGAGGCTGCACTCACTGCTAGCATCTGTATCAGCATCAGTAAGACACACCTCCCCACAGGAGCACCACACACCACCCGCGCCCTCACTCTCCTTGCCCGAGCTGCATGTCTTAAAGCTGAAGACCGACCGGTCATCTTCGCTGTCAGAGAAGAGTAGCTCTCTTACCGTAACTTGATCGAGGCTTGGACAAGAGCCTCTACAGGAGGATAGACAAGTGTCAAGGAGCCAAGTGCTACAAGGCACTTGAGCATCGCTTAATGAACCGCTGCAATCTCCATACTCTCCCGCATCCTTAATACTACCCATCCCCTCTGTGCCATCGATGAAATGCGCCCCGTGATCATCAAAGTCATCGGAGGAGACAGTGGCAGGATTTGAATAACAGGCAACAGGTATGCTGGGGCCGTGAGTGTGGGCGATGACAGAACACCCTTGACACACGTGGACAGGTGGCGGAACACTTGTTGTAACAGTTGTACAACTGTGACCACAGGTACCAGAAGCAGCATTTGGGCAATTACTGGAACATCTGGGCGTTGCAGTCTGGGCGGGACAGTCGTCTGGGGCGGGGCAGTCCAGGGCGGTGATGGTGGTGGACGAGATCAGCTGTGAGCCTGTGCTTCCTGTGTGAATATAGTCTACCGTGAGGTCAGCGCTACACTTGTGTTCACCATGACGCAGGTTCCCCCAGACGCGGGTGTGGAGGGGTGGTGGTGCTTGGGTCGCCAGCTTCTCTTGCTTCTCCGGAGGCGGCGAGGCCCCATACACACCCCCTGACGCACCCTCGCCGGCTCTTGCCCCTAACCCTGCTGCTTCCGTCTGCCGCACACGGCCGAGTTCGGCCGCCGAATTTCCTGACGGAGCCGACTGGTAAGGCCCTTCCCGATGCGCATCTGCCGTGTCTAATACATATGCTCTGCGGTCTTCATGAGCTGCCACGTCCATTGGTGAGTGTAATACTGGATTATCTGCTACTGACGATGGCTGACCTAATGACATGGGGTCTCCGTTAATGGGTAGCGGCGTGGAGGCTCCGTTAATGGGTAGCGGCGTGGAGGCTCCGTTAATGGGTAGCGGCGTCGGAGTATCGTAGGGGTGCGATATGGGGTGCTGTATCCCATGATAGGGTCGCAGGTCCAGGGAGCCCATTAAGGGCGACGCCAACATCACCTGGGAGGAGGAGGAGGAGGGTAGGCCGCCCGCTCCTGGCGCCAGGCTGGGCTGCCAGCATGCATCTAGTGGCAACAACGCTTCTGGAAATAAAAGTGGTGAAGATATTTCTAGAGGCAACACTGCTGGCTTCGCGGGAGACACAGGAGAGGCGAGTGCTGGAGGCACTCCGGCAGGGCCCGGTTGGTGAGGCGCAACGTTTACTAAAGAGTGCTGTAGGTGGCGATCCTGTGGTGGGGAGGGGTGCAGGAGGCAGTCTGGACCAGTGACCGCTTCACGCACGTCGTCCAGAAGTGCCTGGCAGGACGCGAGCAACTCTTCAGAAGACCATTGGCATGCTGGTGGTGGTGCCGCCTCGTCCGCATCCTGCAGGAGACACTCGAACGCGGCCAGCAGAGCCTCGCCTGAGCCCTGCCACGCCGCCTGAGTGTTGACATCCATCTGTGGGCACTCAAGTCGCAACACACTTCTCCTTAACCTGGACACCCACTAAACAATGCCGCCCGCACACACACACTGCAGGCAACCTAAGCCATGTTTAACTATTTAGTCACAACACACATGGACGCTTATCACGGCAGCTCGTGCGGCCCCCCCCCCCCCATACACACACAACAGTGGCAGTGAAGGGGTGGGCGTGACCCCTGATAGAAAAAGAGGGGGGTGGGGGGCGTTTTGGAGGGTGTTTGAGGCGGCGTGCAGGCACGTGAGAGACTGGCACGGGCCGGACGCAGGGACCCAGCTTCCTCACTAGGGAGGTCGCCTCTGCCAGCTCTTTTACCCATCTGCCCTCCTCACGGCGCCAACACTGCCATCAGTGCCACACCGACTCCCACTCACCCCCGCCGCACAAAGACACACACTACCACAAACACTAGCCCCCCAAAAAATATCAATTAATTTAGACAATGACGTGTTGCGGCGACGGGTTACTGTTAACTTACGACTGGCGCCAGCGTCGTCGCCGGCGCCACAACACTCCAGCCAGCCTTGAAAACTCGTCCAAATCACCGGTGGCAGTGTACAGGTGAGCCACGCTCACTGGGCTTGCGGATGGTGTGCTAAGATCACTACGCTGGTTACACGAGCCCACTGGTGCTGGCCTGCCCGAGCTCACCTGGTGGGAGAGCCAGCTAGTCAGGTGTAGAACAATCAGTAAGACAACCTAGGAGAACGAAGTTGTGAATGAGAAGCGTGTCTAAAACAATGGCTCGTAGTAAGCCAGAGTGGGGAATGGGGCGGTGCCCCGGGGGGGGGGAGCCAGGGGGCCCCGGGGCGGAGTCAGCTGTGGCTGCTACAAGGTGGTGATGGCAAGGTCATCTGAGCTAGGAGTCGACAGCTTGCAGGACAGCTGATACATGGGTAATGAGCTACGCAAGAGGCCACTTAATTAATCGAGGAAGACAAGATAACACTCAATTTAGTGACCGTGTCCGTGTTAGTATCCAAGAGTCCGTGCCAGACGGAGGCATGGGCCTCCGTCTGTCCCATACCTCATTAAGATGTGCGGAGGGCCACACACGTCAAGTCAAGCCTGGCCCCGGGCCGGGCTTGGGGAGTAGAACAACTCCCAGAATCCCATCAAGCAGGGCCGGCAGAGGGCTCATCTACTGATAAATAATTTCTATGACCTGGGAGGCCGGCGCATGGGAGATGAGGGCGGTGCATGGGAAGATAGCGCATGGGAGTGCAGCGCATGGGAGCGGCGGGTGCATGCTGCTGTTGGAATGAGAAATTAAATAACGACGACAATAATGGAGGTGTGACGCTCCTGCCGATGACGTCAAGAGCCTGCTGCCTATGGGGGATCTAAATGTGTCCCAACGAAGATATGGAATTTCTCAAGGGCGAACAAAAATCAAATGAGGTACAAGCCATGAGAATCATGTGCCCGGTACCTTACCTTGGGTTGCTCGCACCTGCCTCGGCTGCTGCCTCCACACACACACACACGCACACACACACACACACACACACACACACACACACACACACACACACACACACACACACACACACACACACACACACACACACACTGGGTGTGCGTGTGTGTACGAGTGCTGTGAAGACGGGACACCACGAGCGTAGCTCTCATCCTGTAACTACACTTAGGTAATCACACACACACACACACACACACACACACACACACACACACACACACACACACACACACACACACACACACACACACACACACACACACCACGAAGCATGTGAACCGGAGAATGTCTCGCAAACATGCACAGCTGAAATGGCAACCTTAAGGGTAAGGGACGTTGTCTAAAGGGGCTCGGGTTGTGGATTAAGAACACAAAGGGGGGGTGGGGAGGAGGTTGTGGCCCAGAAGCTGCAACAGAAGCATCACGTGCCCAGGTGCCCTTGGCACTGGGCTGCTCTATGACGTCATTGCCAGGCGGAGCAATGCCAACAATTAAAATATTCCAGTAACTAGCGCTTCGCCAATCATCTTCGCCTCGGAGACCATAAGATTCCCTATGTAACAACACGTTCAAATTTGTCATTCATATCGGCTTACACGAATCATATTATATCCATCATAATTTGTTAGTATTAAGGATCTACATGTTTTTCAACAGCCTTTCCTACTGTGTATCAGTGACACGCCAAGTACCGGAGCTCGACGTAGAGGGCGCTCATGGGGAGGGCGCTCATGTAGGGGGCGCTCATGTAGGGGGCGCTCATGTAGAGGGCGCTCATGTAGAGGGTGCTCATGTAGAGGGTGCTCATGTAGAGGGTGCTCATGTAGAGGGCGCTCATGTAGAGGGTGCTCATGTAGAGGGCGCTCATATATAGAGCTCATGCCGAGGTTTCACGTACATGACTCACATAGAGGGCTCACACAGAGGCTTCCTGGTATACACACTTAAACACTTTTATCCCTAAAACGTTTGTATAAAATATTGGAAACGGTAAAGTTGGTCATTTCAAAGTGTTGCCAGCTACTGTGATGTCTGACTATTGCCAACATTTAATAAGTATGATGGCGTGTAAGGCCCTCATCGCCACCACCTGTGCCAGATACAATCTGTTCTGTTCACGGAGTTACTATAACACGGGACCTGAGAATAGATCTTTAAACGTTTACAAATGATGGAATGAACTTACTATGAGTTAAGTGACACACAAGGGGAAAGTTTCTATAGCATCAAGTGTACAAGAGTTAGTAGCCTAATGCTACTGACGCATACATCAGCGGGCCAACGACGTTTCCCATTTTCTATTTCAACTATACGAGGGGCATCCGGGTATTAGACATTGATGTTACGCAATGTGTTATCGGCTGTGGCTACAGCCATCTGTCTTCCCAATATGGGTATATCAGGTTGTGAGTTTGAAGGAAGAAATAAGACTGGAGGTGGTGGACACTGATGCTCTCATACAGTGGTGCGTGTGGCTATGGTCCCTCTACTCATCATTGGGTCTACTCTGCACTTCCTACTATATCGTTTGTTCGAATAAGTTGCTGCTTTATTTGGCTGGATGAAAACCTGAACTTCGAGAATCTTCAATGCATATTATACTAGAAAGGGTGTCCGGTGGTGCCCGGGTCGGCCTGTCCTTCCCCCTCCCCCCCTCCCCCTCCACACACAGTACCATTAAGAACGGGTCATCAACACAATCAATAAAGTCTAAGGGAAAATATATCAAAGGATTTGGGTTTAAAGGTAAGTATAGTATTATGATAATATTTTTTGTTTACATTTTGGCGAGACCAGCACACACAATTTCTAATATAACAAAAAAAACGGAGAGAAAAGTCATATAGTGTTGAGATATTTTCTGGGGGCCACGATGGCATAGTATCACTCGCTGCTTTTTTTTTTTAACATTAATCCCAACGCACCCATGTTGGGCACGTACCCCACAGCAATCACTATGAACGAATGGGTGAAACCAGCGTCAAACATCTAGCCTCCAACCTCGAACACACACACACACACACATTTTAATTTAGATACGATATTTCGTCTCCTGTTCCAAAGAGTATTCTAAATGCTTAGTGAGGTTAAATTAGAGTTAGTGTTCTACTTTCTTTGATACTCATTGACTTGATAACGCTCTCATAATCCACCCAGTAATTGTCCTGGCCGATGCTAAGTTGGTGTTGTTATGCTCACTAGACGTTAGGTAGTCCCCATCCTGCCATGTTTGGCAATGTTTTCTACCAAAGTAATTGTATGCTTTTATCATCTGCAAAAGATGACGTGAAGTCGTCGTTCGTATATTAGTTTATGACTGATGTGAGGTGGAAACATCGACCCAAGACCTAAAAATATCCTTTCACACTTGTTTCTAAAATGATGTCAGGAGAGTACCCCAGTGACACACACACAAAAAAAGGGGGGAGGGGGTGGGGGGGGGGGGGGGGGGGGGGGGGGGGGGGGGGGGGGGGGGGAGAGAGAGAGAGAGAGAGAGAGAGAGAGAGAGAGAGAGAGAGAGAGAGAGAGAGAGAGAGAGAGAGAGAGAGAGAGAGAGAGAGAGAGAGAGAGAGAGAGAGAGAGAGAGATATATATATATATATATATATATATATATATATATATATATATATATATATCTCTATATATATCTCTATATATATATTTTTTTTTTTAAAGAGTACCACCTCTAGCTGGAAGAAGGGGGACCCATAGCCTCGGAGGAAACCACGCATAACGCATTAGAGGGAATGTTTAGATCCCCTCCAATACAGTTTCTGTGTGCTTTTCTCCTACCACCCCCTTCCTTGAATATTTTTTGTGCTTTATTATGCATTTGATGGATATATATATATATATATATATATATATATATATATATATATATATATATATATATATATATATATATATATATATATATAGTTGTATATATATATATATTTTTTTTTTTAACGGGGGGGAAGGGACATACCTGGGCGGCCTGTAC